ACACACACACACACACACACACACACACACACACACACACACACACAGAGCCACATGCACCAGGGTCTGATGGGAGTCCACTGTCTGGCACCCACTCCATGTAGCCTCCCAATACCCACAGGCTGAGAAAGGACAAGCAGGAACGTCACCCTGAAAAGGTTAGTTCTGTTGGGTTTGTAACACCTACACTCAGAAGGCCGAGGCAAAAGGATTTCTCAGAGTTCCAGGCCAGCCTAGGCCAGAGAGACTGTCTTAAACTCAAACACCCCACCCACACCAAGTGAGCTTGGTGGCTCACACACTGCTCAAAGAAAGACCACACAAAGGGGAGGGGAAAAAGGTAGAAGTCATTATGAATTTATTATTTACACAATTGTTAAAGTACACAAATACAGTGGTAGTACAAACGCACAGCTCAGAGACTGGTCACCAAGACACAGGTTGATACACACATTCTAACTACGCTTCCTGCGAGTGATGATGGGATTAAATACTGGGCAAGAACTGTCAGAGCCACACCCTGGAGGACTTCCAATGGGTCTAATCTCAGCACACCCCAACAGGGCCAGGCCGAACCTAGATCAGTCTCAAGGCCACCCCGATACCCCTCCAGCACCACAGGTATCTACAAGAACACTTGCCAGGAAGGCCTGCCGCTGGAGAGGGGAGGCCCAACTCTGATAAAGGGTTTGCAACAAAAATCTCAAACTTGCCCGACCCTCCCTACCTCCCTCTACACTCCCAGACACACAGTCCCACCCAGTCAAGTCTCTGCACCCGAAAATGCTTGCAGAGCAACCAGCTCAGGATTCAGAAAGAAGCACCCACAGACTCAAATGGCTGGCAGGCACAACTAACAGCCACATTCTGGGATGCTATCACACATCAGCAGCGTGCCCCCTAACCCCGGGCCAGTGCTGTGCCAGGGAACTCTGGGAAGAAGGGAGAAGCCATGGTGGCACCATCAGAGCCCAAACCTCCACAGGGAGCCAGGTACCCAGCATAACTCTCCATAGGCCGACAGGAAAAAAAAGAGATGGGCCCACACACGTGTACGGCACCCCATCTCAGATGGGAGCTCAGGTCCTGCCGCCTCTTCAGATCCGGTGCACAGGGTGGGGAAGAACATGCTGGCATCCTAATGGCCAGCGGCAGGGCTGCCCAGCCCGCAGATGTGTCCAGCTGAGGATCACGACGCATGTGCACCACACCTTTCAGGAGGTGAAGGTTCTAGATTCAGGTAGGCAGTCACCTACTTCTTGGCACTTCAGGGTTGGTTCCCTTTGGCCACTGGTCCCTCTGGGCAAACCATGGTGTTTAGACAGCCTGCTCCCTGGCTGAGGAGAGAGGCGATGACAAACCTAGTGGCACCTGCATGGGAGCATTCAGTCTGTTCAGCAACTTCGCAAGTTCAAAGGCATAGAGGCAACCAATACTACCAAACCACAACCTCCCTAGACACCAGAAACAGCTCAGCTTTGAATCTGGGATCTCTCCAACAGCCTACAGGGCTCAAGGCCCTCCACAGGGGGGTTCTTCAGAGTTCTGACTTCCTCCTTCAGGAAGGAGGCCGGGCCACAGTGCTTTGCTGAGGATACACCTGCCACACCCTCGATCCATGGCCACTGTGCTCCACCTGCTCTGATGATCGCAGGCAGATCAGTTTACAGCGGGAGAGGGGAAGCAAGATGCCCAAGTCAGGCTGATGGAGCCCACAAGACACACACGCACACAAACTGATGAGAATTTCCTTTCCAAAGAGGACAAATAGCACAACACGAGAAAACAAAACAAACAAAACACACATCCTTGACACTCACATGTGCCCCTCTTGCCTGCCATTTTACACAGAAGCTCCAAGCCAGCGTGTCTTAGGATTCTTTAAGGTCAACATCTTTGTTTAAGACCGCAAAAACAGACAAGAAAGAAACAATAAAAAGACAGATTTCTTTACACAGATTTAAGCCAGTAATTTTTAGCAAAATGATACAAAACTGTCTTAACCAAGTAGAAGAGACTGGTAGCTGCGGTGGGGTCGTCAGGGAGCGCAGGTCCGCCACCACTGGTGGGAGCTGAGAGGCTCTTCACAGGGAGTTGGGTTCTCTCTGCAATGGTCTCCCAGCCTCTGCTCTTCGTCCCAGCCCCATGATAACTGAGCTCACATGGGGCCACGGTGGCAGCCCCTGGCGATGGCAGCTCCTGGAGCCTGTCCATTTAGTTTGTGTTTTGATTCCCCATGAGCATCGCTGGGTGAGTGGCCTGGAGAGCTCCCGGCGTTAACATTTCGGGTTTAGACCGGGGGGCGTGTCACTAGTAAAGCCATTGGTAACAGAGGAGATCAGCCATGCATTGTCTGCCCTTCACAGCAAAAAGGAGAGTTCTCATCGGTGCACGACAGACTGAAGACCACTGGAA